GGGTTGGAGTTAGTTTTAGGCCAAGCGTTAGGGTTAGCTTCAGGCTTGCGGCTAAGACTACTTTTACCGTCTACAGTTAGGGTAACTTGTCGGCTTAGGGTTACTTTGAGGCTTCCTACACAAAATGGCAAGCTAACGATTGCACCAGACAATTCAACTTAAGTTTATTAATCGCTGGCCTACCTGTCATCATGTGATCTCATGAAAATGTTTATTTCTGTGACGTCCCCATCGGCGAAAGCAAGTGAAGACCTTTTTGCCTTGGCCAAAAGACAGCCGCTAATGTTGTTTTACTTCAATTTGTCCGCCTAACCTCTCCCCCTTCCCATTTGCTAAGCAGTAAAGCCTTAGTCATCGTGCGAATTCTCCCAATTTCAGTTATTTCGCCTTTCATTTACCCTACTAACATCCTTTGCATTATTTAGGGACGCCAGACTAATGAATGGAGAATAACTTAAAGCTGATACGGATGTACTACTTTTACTCTACACCTCATGAAGGCGATCGAAGTCCGTAAGAGCATGAGTTATATCAGTCAGTGTATGCGTAAGATACGTTAGGTCGCACCACTGCGTGGTTACCAGCATTAACCTACCGATACTTTTTAAGCCTAACGCCTCACGTAACCTGCAGGGAGCTGCAAAAACAAAGATATATCCGTCGTACGTCGATGCGCAATTAAAACAGGTAAGACCATTATCAACGACAACGAGCAGTGGGAGATTCATGCGGAAGTGTAACTCACAATATATTAGCTTTCGCAGTCGAATTACATCCTGCCAATGGTAATAGAGGACACATGTCGCCGGAAGACCGTCTCTTCCTGCTCTGCCAGCTTCTTGGTAGTAGCCCTCTATTGACTTGGGGATAGAAAAGTGGATGACGAAACGCACATCCGGTTTATCGATCCCCATACCGAATGCGATCGTCGCGCAGACAACCTATAAGAACCAAAGAGTCGTACAGGGCGAATTATAGGATGGGGGAGGAGGATCAAGTTTCGAAAGAAGTGAATGATAGTAGAGGTGAGGATGAGGTGAAAACGGAGACAGCGAACGCTACGAAGTACCCACCTTAAAGCTTTCCTCTTGAAGCCAGCCCTCTTGCACGCGTTTACGGGCCGTATCGCCCATTCCCGCGTGATAAGCCTTGGCAACGATACCTCCGGCAGTCAGTTCTTCGGCAAGTCGATCACATTCGTTTCGTGATAGACAGTAGACAATGCCCGCCAAGCCGGAAAATTGGGAACGAATTAAGTCGATGACTTCTTTGCTGCAGTTTTTTAGCTTCTTGGGCCGGACTTCAAACTTGAGGTTGGGCCGGTTAAAACTTTGGATGAACCTGAAGCCGTCCAGACGAGCAGTTAGTTAGTTCAGAAGTGCAATTTTTTATAAACACAAGAAAATAATATGTCACACAAAATCTATACTGCCCGAGTCAGAGAGCCACGACTCAAACAGCTGGTGCTTCGTGTGGTCGTCGTCCTTTTTGAGGATTCCTGCGCGGTGGCAGTTGTAGGGCCGCATCGTATGCAGTGAGTCGCTAGCTGTGCGTGTGCTTTTATCAACCCCTCTCACGACTGACGCATGTTCTACTATCCACGTCCAGTGTACAATTTACACTTATAATGTTCAGTTTCTTTGCTTTCAAATGTAAATGAGCAAATAAAGGACTATTGGCGTTCCCTGTCGTAACCATGAGTTTTGGGCCACACTACATGGTGTCGGGCAGCTCTGTGTAATAGGGCGGCGGGCGGTTTCTGAGTTCATGGCCTAAACAAACGTTTATAGACAGTTGAGTGATGTGTCGGTTTCGCACTCGTCTGGTTTTTGCGTGCACCGGATTGCGAAGATAAAGGCTACATTCTCACTTTCTTAAAGGCTCAAATCAACGCCAAAGGCAACAGTTGCGTGAGCCAGTGATTGCTCTATTCGCGGTCTTCCGAGCCCGAAATCATCAAAAAACGAAAAACTGCCCACCGGCCCATGCAGCATGATGATGTAAGCAAGAAGGACACTGCTGCGAGGACGGTATTGAGGTGTAAAACTGTCAAGTGGTTAGAGGCAAGGCCGTCGAAAACCCTGGTGTGTATGCTCAAACAATTACCACGCCAATTATGAGCACTCGCGATGAAGCCTAGTGGGCAAGTCGAGTGAGGCCAGCGGGGATCCTGGCTCATACCTTTATTCTGAGGTAACTAATTGTAAAAGAAGGGTAGGGGGAGATGGTGCACCTACCACTTTGTATCCTTCATGAGGAGCTGGTGCAAAATGTCCTGCCTGACCCGCGGGGTGGCCGTTGCTGTCATTGCCATCATTGGAACGGTGGGAAATTTCTCACGTAAAATCTTCAAGTTGCGATAATCAGGACGGAAGTCGTGACCCCACTTAAAACAAGAAGAATAAAAATTGTTAGATAAGGGAATGAAAGAAAGGGCGGATGAGTGGATAAATCGGCCGGAAACAAATGGAAATTAACTCAAGGAAAACGACAGAGTTGTGGTAAGAGAGCAAATAACAGCGACTGTGTACAAGATTAGGAGGGTCGGAGCTAGCGGAGGTAAATAATGGGTTCTCAGAAGACTCAGATGTTCTAAGATCCGTTCAAAGAAAAGAACCGAAATAATCAACAGCAAAGTTGACTTTAGCACCTCCGCGTTGAAAAGGTTTGTCTCGAAGGATTTATTCCAAGTTAGCACATTTAGTTCAGATGAGAGTAAAAAACTGAAGTGCATGACAGAAAGCTAACTGTGAACAATAAGTCACCCCCTGATGACTCAAGCGCTTCGCGGT